TTGGAGGTCTTCTAGTCCAGCCCCCTGCTCAAGCAGGAGAACCTATACAATCTCAGACAAGTGACTGTCCAGTCCAATCTCTTCTTCAAAACCTCCAGTGATGGAGTGCCTACGATTTCTGAAGGCAAGCGATTCCACTGTTTAATTGTGCTCTCTCTTAGGAAGTTTCTCCTTATTTCCCGCGTTGCTTCTCTCCTGGATTAATCTCCATCCATTGTTTCTTGCCTTGCCTTCTCTGATGCTTTGGAGAATAATTTGACCCCCTCTTCTTCGTGGCAGCCCCTCAAATACTGAAATTTTAATATTATATTCTTTTCCAACCAGGGCTGGAAAATAATTTTGAATTCAAGGATCCCTGAGAGGGTTTTAAGGGACTCGCAGGGCTCCTAGGACCACACATGAAGAAACAGTATATATACTAAGTGATAACACTATAAATTTACAAACGAGGTTGCCTCGTTGTACACGATGCGCTAAGCCTGTATCTCACATGCTGTAAAAACTGCTGGGACTGTTCACCTCTTTATAGTGCTGTAAGGTTTTTTTTTTTAAAAAAAACAACTATTAAAGGAGAAAAACAAACAAAGGATGAAGTTTGCCTAAGAAATCACAAGGTTGACTATATCCCTTGATTTCGTGGCAAGGAGCACGTTTGCTACGGAGCCACATCAAAAGAGCCTTAACAAGCCTTCGAGCTGATCGGCTTTATGTATCATGGCTGAGGATAATTTTCTTTGTGAAAGTTTCTCTGTGGTAAGAGATTGGAAGCTGCGGTTACTGAGCGCCTAAAAACCCTCATTCTTGAAGAGACATGCTTAAAGGAAACGGCTCTGTAAGGCAAAGCGGTTCTAGTGTGTTGACGAAGAAGATGTGAGCCAGTTCAAATGTTCTTTCTGCCTCAAGTTCACTTAGAACAGAGGTGTCAAACTCAAAAGTCTCATTCCATTTCAATTCAGTTCTATCATTAACATTCATTAAAGTCTTAAGATCTTTAACATTTCTTTTCAATTAAATATCATACTTCCTTGAAGACACATATAATCTCCATAATTAATTTTTCCCTTATTTCTCTTCACATATGTTTTATAAATCATTAAATATTCATTTTATTACATTTATTTATTGACAAACATTCCACTAAATTACGATAACTATTTTATCAAACATTTTAATCATACATTGTTTTATTTTTCTGAAATTATTTCTATTTCTAATATAACAATACTATCTTATGTACCTTTGCAGAATCCCTTTTTCAATTTGATTTTCACCCATTATCTCTAAATAGGCCCTGTTTCTCTATATCTTGTTTCTGTCCTTTATAACTTCTTTTCCTTTCTTTCTTCCCTCTCTTCTTCTCCCTCCCCTTTTTACCCCCGTGTCTCTCTACTTCTAATTCTCTCTTCTGCATTTCCGTCTTCTGTTGCTTTCTGATTTTATACTTATTTTTCAATCTATTCCTTTTTGGGGTTGTTTTTCCCAGTAAACTTTCCATTCTCTTTTCCCTCTTTCCTTTTTTTTCCCCACTTAAGATTACTTGTTCATTAAAGATGGCTTCTTTTTTGTCCCAATCTTCTTGTTCTGCAGGCATTTCTTGTTGTTTCTCATAGTTCAAAATCTCCATTTCTAAGAACTGAAATACGAAGCCAAAAGAACCTCTCCCTTCTTGTGCATCTTCTTTGTACTTTTTAAGTTCCATTTTCAGTTCTTCTAAGAGTGGAGCCATTTTAAACATTTTTAAACAACCACCCAATTGATTTAGTCATTCAAATGCAGTAACCAAGAATCCAGAGATCACCAAGTAATCCAAATACTCCTGAGCTATTCTTATTTCTTTTTTCAGTTTCTCTTCCTGGGGTTTTACTATTTTGTTGCCATGTTTCAGTAAAAATATATCTTTTAGAAGTATTGTTGAGATTTTACTGTAAGTTCTTTTTAATTCCAGGCAATCTCCTCTCTTTCAGATCCTGCCGTTTTATTCTTTTTCTCTCCTTTCCTGTTTTCAAAAGCTTTTAAGTATCCAGAAATCTTTATTATCCCTTTGACTTTTTATTTTCAGCATTAAATGCCTATTAATATCAAAGTGGATTTTTTTTCCAATTTCTTACTTAAGTCTCTTAGCTGTCAGTATAGGAAAAGGGAAAAAAAACAAATCCTTTCCCTTTTCTCTTTCCTTCGCTGTTTAAAGATCTTTGGGAACAGTATTATTTTTTTATAGTTTAAATTCCAGGGTACCTTATTTGTTGCTTTCGCTGTTTGACCCGGTCAACCAAAACTTTCTCTACTTATCTTCCTCCTGCCCATTCTTTTCCGGTCAAGTTCTTCTTTGTGGTGGCCATTTCTGACCACCGCTACAACCGCCTTCAGGAAAGGGAGTAATGGCAAGCTGAGGAGGAGAGATGCGGCTCTCCTCAACCCTGCAGGCAGTCTCCCCCTTCTTCATCACCCCTACAGGGTGGCTTAACCCCGAAACCAGCCGGCTTGGGGCGCTTCAGCGGCGAACACGGATCGAAACCACGCAGAGTCGCGGTTTCGGTCTGTCGCCGAAGAAGCTCAAACCGGAAGTCCTCTATTTGCATGGCATTTCTGGCACAAAGCAAAATTAACGCTTGCACAATCAGATGGATGTTTTTTTTTTTTTAAATCATATCTCAGTTTTATTTCTCTGGTAGCCTAACTATTCATCCCATTAGCAATTGAGCTGCATCAATTAAACCTTCAGCTGACTCTATCTCTATAGATATTCTCAATCATCCAGGTCATAGTTGTCCCAAGGGTGCATTTTCCAAAAGGCAGCTGGACTTTCTTGGGTTTTTTCCCTTTGAAAACATTTCACTTCTCGTCCAAGAAGTGAACTGGATAAACTTTTTGGATAAGAAGTGAAACATTTTCAAAGAAAAAAAGAAGCGCCTTTGGGACTTTTGGGTGACTCTATCATGGCAATTGCTTAACAAACTATCACATTTGGTTGCTAATGAAATCTTAATGAAGATTTCCTTTTTAAAGAATGTCTGACACAGAGAAATTAGTCACTCCTAATCCAGACAGGTGGTTGTTCTCGTGTAAATTTTCACCGACAAATAGAAAACATTCTACATTGGCACAGAAGTGTTTCCCTCTGTATTTTTCCATAGGACAAAAAAAATTCCAGAGAAGTAGCTTACACTGTCAGAGCTCTCTATTACACACTGTGGTGAACCATACCTATGGGGGAACTCTGGTTTTACTATTCATTTGTTTGTTTGTTTATTGAATTGTATTGCTGCCTATTTGCCATGGCAACTCAAGGCAGCTTACAGAATATAAAACCACATTTAAACAATAAAAACTAACAAAAGGATCAAATGAATTAATATAGTACAATATAACAAAATCTCCCCCTGGTGACAGCAGGTCACACGAGCCATTTAATGGGCTCCATCCTGCTCTGGGTTCCCCAGGCCTACTGGCAAAACCAGGCCTTCCGTTTTAAGCAGCTCCCACCTTCCGTTTCGGGGTACCATATAAACCCACTTATGCAGAGAAGAATTTTGGCAGAGAAGAGCCAGTTTAGTCTAGTGCAGTGTTGGTGAACTTTTTCGGCATCAAGTACCAAAATGGGAGCACGCACGCGCATGCGGGGGAGCGCCAGAAACCGGAAGAACAGCTCCCCAGCGCGCATACTGAGCTTCCGGTTTCCGGCATGCGCATGCACGCCAGTCACCTGATCTTCCAGTTTCTGGCATGTGTGGACACCAGCTGGCTGGAGCATGCATGCACGCATGCATTGCTCTTCCAGTTTCCGGTGCTCCCGTGTGTACGAAGACCAGCTGGATGGTGCACATGCATGCGCCTAAATCCAGAAGAGCAACGGGCAACGGCTGGCATGCCCGGAGCGGTGGCTCTGCATGCCACTTCCGGCATGCATGCGTGCCATAGATTCGCCAACACCGGTCTCGTGGTTAAGGCATCCAGCCTAGAAAGCGGGAGGCAGTGAGTTCAAATCCTGCTTTAGCCATGAAAGCCAGCTGGGCCAGTCCTTCTCTCTCCGCCCGATCTACCTCACGGGGCTGTTGTGGTGGGGAAAATGGGAGGGGGAAGGTGCGTTGGATATACTTGCTGCCTTTTTTGTAAAAAAGAATCCTGATGGGATACAAATATATATAAACATTGTGGGTGCAATATCCTGGAGCTGCTGGCCTGTGTAGCCTAAGTCAGGATTGGTGCCACCTTGAGTTGCTGAGCAGGGAGGGAGGCTTTTCAACGAAAGAGACATCTGCTTTCTGTTTACTTAGTCATGGAATTCACCCAGCAATGGGTAGGATCAGCTGTCTTGATAGTCTAATAGCCCGGAGGGTGTGTGTTTTTTTATTTTATTTTCCCCTTTCCTTTTCTTTTTGGCACTGTCAGCTCTGTGAAATAAGAAAGGGAAACTGGGTTAAAAATCTCCAGCTTCTGCAGAAGAGGCCTGGGGAGGAAAGAAGTGCAATGATCAGCATCTCCGGCTGATGTAAGCCTGAACTCCATTGCACAGCAAGGATGTCTCACGCAGAAGCGAGGAACTCTGGCCCTTGGTGGTGGTGGAGATTAAGGCAGCAGAGGTCATGTTGGAGCCTGTTGTTTGGGGCCTTGGTCCTCGGCCTCACTGCCCGCCCTGCCGCGCACCTGGCTGCATCTTCAGTGGGTCTTCCTGCTGGGCTAACCAGTTTGGGCAGGTGCCTCCGATACAATTCCTGCAGCGGTCCCATCAGGGGAGGAGGGCAGGGAACAATTTATTAGTGGTGGTTGTTTTTTTTTTTTTCCCCTGAGAAAATGGGTACAAGGTTCGGTGTGCGCCTCTCTGCTCCCCCCCCCCCCCCGCCCTTTGGCCTTGTGGCCTGGTCTTCCTCCTCCCATCGGATCCCGGTGTTTGATCCTGTGTCGGGAGCGCAGGGTGGGGAGCTTCCCCTTTGAAGCCTTGAGGACAACAGGGGTGTGTTCAGGATGGGAGTGTCTTGTAACATCCTTTCTTTTATTCCCAGGATAGAGGGATAAAAATCCCCCAGCAGCTGGGAAGAGGCCCCAGTTCTTTCATCCCAGTGGAAGAGGTAAGGGGATAAAGCACAATTTTTTCCTCTCCTCTTCCCTCTCCTCT